AAAAGCTCAAGGGATGATCGATTGTTACTCCCAAAGTAGCGGGAGATGGTCTCAATCCAAAGACCAATGTGCAGAATCGGTACTCAACCATTTCAGGCTTCGTATACGTTCTTAAACCATAGGGAACGCAACATGTCTCAGTCAGTATCGTTGATTTCAACCATGAGAAAGGCTTTTTCTAGGTCAGCAACTAATCCAACCGTACTCAGTATAAATTTAGTAATGACGTTGAAGAGAAGCGGGATATGATTTGGATCAGTCAGGAGACAATTATTGAGGGATTGAGTTTGCGAAGAAGTGCTCGCTGAGCCGTTATATACTACACGTACCTTTGTGGTCGTTTTTTTAGTTTTTCGGACAACACCGTGATACGAAAGATAATGAACATCAACATCATTCTCTTTGCTCTTTGGCGGTCTTTGCTCTTTGGCACTCTTTCAATGACTGCAAATTGCTTATGAACTCCCTTATCATATTTGCAAAGAAACGCAGGCTGTTTTAGTAACGTTTGCTGTAGCGCTCGCTTCCTGTATTGAAAAGTACGCGAATAGAAGTTGATTTGAATCCATAAATTGCATTAGCTCTAGCCGTTTGAAGTAAGACACAGCCTTTACTGGTCCTAGTTGTTGCTGTCATAGTATGCTGCGTTTTAGGTTCATCTGCTTTATCTTTCGTTGGGGGCATGAACGTCTTCGATTTCCTTGTTTTGACTTCTTATCGACTGGTGATGCTGGTGATGTCTATGGAGGGTGATCTCCGTCAAAATTAAAAGCCATATTTTCAATTGCTAATGCGCATTTTGTCCTTTGCAATGTACATTTTGTCTTGATCATATTGCATTCTGGAATTTCATAATCGGATTTTGTCCTGTTCAATTTCCGTTAAAACGCATTTTGTTATTGAACATTCCATTATGATGACGTAACATTATTCGTGACTCGCAGAACATCAAATTTTACTCGATCACATTATAATTTATTTATAATTATTTACCGCCAAAAATTGCTTATATCAATAAATTATACTGTTGCAATATTTTATGCAATAACTATCACGATCTTTGTCCTTCGAAGCAACTTTAGTATTCTGTAAAAAAGAAACGATTTTTTGGTATGGGGATGATAATGGAGCGAAAATCAAGAGGCAGCAGCTTTGCTTCGCCGAGCAGCAAATTTACTGAATCAGACTCTTCTGGATCAGCAAGTCTTAGGCCGCGTTCAGACTGAGTGCCGGAGAACGATACCCGGGTTCGGGCACAGATCTGCAGGCTGTTCACACTACGAAGTACTTACTAGTTTCGTCTATGTTTATTTTGATTTCTTCCATAGTTAACAAGTTTTAAAACCATGTGCAATACGTGCCTCTGCGTACATTTCACTCTGGTTATGGTATGTTTGATGGCGGCCGTATCTATTGTAATGTTTCACCATAATAAAGCAGAGTCCAGCAGAAGATTGCAGGGTCATCGTGCTTTAGTTTTACATGTGACAAAAGTATTTTGCAAGACAAGATCTTTAATTCATAATATTATTGAATCAAAACATCATAATCGTTGTGGACGTGTATGGGCCTTTCCTCGCATGAAAAACATTTTGGACAGTGAATTCACTGGCTTGAGCGAAAAAAGATGGCTGGAGAGTTATCGTTTACCAAAGCGCCTATTTCTGCAACTAGTAAATTCGATGCGTTTACTTGGTCGACAATCCACAAGGCTGCGACCTGCTATACCAGTTAACATCATTGTAGCAATGATGTTAAAAAGGCTAGGAAAGGGTCTTGATTATCGAGAAATCGGAGACAAATTCGGAGTAGGAGCGTCAACAGCTTGTACAAAAGTCAACGAAGCTCTGAGATTTTTGATACGTACAAAAAAATATATGTTGAATCGTTTACAAGAGCGTAGAAATTTAAAAGTAATAGTAGATGGCTTTGCCAAAAAGTGGAATATCCTCCAGTGTTTAGGCGCAGTAGATGGCACCCACATCCCTATTAGGGCTCCTGTAATGCATCATGCTGATTACTTCAACAGAAAATTTTTTTCATTCTGTAATTTTGCAAGCTGTTTGTGACAGTGAATGCCACTTTACAGACATTTTTGTTGGCTGGCCTGGCAAATCCCATGACGCACGTGTTTTCAGCTGTTCAAACATTGGACAAAGAACCATTAATGGGAATTTAATCGAGGGTGGTACTTTAACCAAACAAATTAATGGAAAAAACATTGAACCGTTCCTTATCGGCGATCCTGCTTATCCTTTACTGAAACACCTAATGAAAACTATGCTGGTGCTAATTTGGGACATGAGAAGGAATATTTCAATTATAGGTTAAACCGTGCACGCATTCAAATTGAGAGAGCATTTGGCCTTTTGAAAGGTCGGTGGCGATGCCTTCTACATCCTTTAGAATGTGACATTGAGAAGGTTTCACTCCATGTTACTGCCCCCTGCATTTTGCACAATATATGTCAGGAAAGTAATGCTGAGTATCTTCAAGAATGGGATGACAGGAATAATGATGATTTGGATTACCATTCAGAATCAAATTCAACAAGAGAGGAAAATGAAACTGTTGAAAATGCTGAAGATATTAGAAAAGTACTAACTCATTATGTCTCTCATTATTGATGGCAACAGCTAAAATGAAAATTCAATCAAGTACTTTGAAATTTTTTGATGCTTAAAGATAGCCAAGAAGTGTCTTTATTGCAGACTTTCACAAATAAACATTCTTGTTCAAGAAAAACAGTAAATTGGAGAAAAATCAACCAGAGTGACTGACCTGATGCTGGACTACCTGTTGTAGTTCCATTTAAGCAGCATAGTTTAGCAAATTGAAAAATTTACCTACTTGGCTCACAAAAGACAAAAAAGAAACCTGCAACTTTATTAAAATATAGACAGATTATACATGTACAAAGAGTTGTTCCTGTTTAAATTCATCATGTTACCTGGTTTCTTATGTGTAGGGACAAAACAATCAATAACACTTCTCATTCTTGCTCACACTCCAGTCCATAACAGCCTAGTTTAATACCCTTATCTTTATACCCACATATCTATTGAGAATTTGGAAGGCTCTTCAATAGAAAAATAAATACTGAACAAAAGAATACATTGTTAGTTGAGTCAAGGAATCATCAAATTAAGCAGAGTTCATTAAAGATGAGGAAGAGACTGCAAAGATTTGAAAGAACAGCTTATTTCTCAACCTCTCAATTGAATGCATGAAGCAAAAAGTACACTTAAGTAAAAGACATGGTCAGTCATTTATTTTTTACATTTCTGATAAAATGTCTATAATTGCACAATAATTGAACAATAACACTATTAAGGCTAACTAAGCTTTTTTCAACATAAAAAATGAATTACCATAACTTGTATTTAGAAATAAAACTGTTTACCATTGCACCTTTCAATTAATATGCAAAGCATTCAAGAATCCAATCAATGCAACAGTTGATCACTTAACTTAAACTTAACAATCTATATAGTCTGACCTTCACATTATATGCTGACATGTAAAGTATGTTATCCTCGTGAGAATTTTAGTCATGCTGTGCAAATTGATCTAAATCAATATCTTCACATGATGAAGTGTGAGGTGATGGTGTCACTCTATCCGAAGGACTGCTACTATATGGCGATGAGCTTCTTGATAAAACATGAGGTTGAAAACCATGGGTCATGTGATGAGAAAATTGAGTATTTTGTGGGTATATTGGATTGCCGAAAGGTACGTGCTGTGACGCACCATGACAGGCCTGTGTCAACATTTGAGTCATTCCAACCATTGTGTTACAGAGATTAGAAAATATTTCCTTAAAAAATTCTCTGTCTTCTTGACGTTCAACCTCGCGCATTTCTGGAGTTAAAACACTGTTTGACAATGTCTTCTGTAATTCTTCAAATTGATCATTAGAACTCTTGACCACATCAACTAGTCTAGCTCTTTTATTGGATCGTCTTTGAATTGATTTTCCAGCTCTTTTCTTGTATTTTGTACAGCAGCATCGTGACCAGCAGCATCATGATCAGCAACATCGAGATCAGCAGCATGATGATTAGTAGCATGTACACCAGTGACCAATTGACCAGTACAATCCTGTCCAGAGTCTTCTGTCTGTACCACACTTTCACTTTGAAACAACTGATCCTCAGGAGGATCATTAACCGGCCTAGTACCTTCATATTTAATCAATAATTATGTTTACATCAATTGTTTTCAGTATTTTCAAAACAACATATAACTGGTAGAAAACAAAGATTTTAGGTAGAGCTGTGATAATGCTATCTTACCGAGAATTCCATCCAGCAAGTCCCAGTGCTTTAAAGCCATTTTTCCACGCTGCTAAGAGCGCTTGAGAAGTATGGGTGTTCGGATCCAGATGTTTTCATTCTGTCCTTCAATTTTACATATCCACTTCGCAGCTTCTTCAGCTTTGTCTTAATTTGATCAACAGTCCTTTCTGTATGCGACTCTTCTTTCATGATTCTTTGTATATTGTTAAACAATTCTTTATTTGAGCTCATACTATCAATGTTGTTTTGCACAGTTTCCGAGTTATAAGCGTTCAAAAGAGCAACTGTTTCCTCGTTCGTCCATTTAGCACCCGCCATCTCTGTTGTGACGCCGTTCTTTGCGTTCACATTGGTGCCCGTGCCTGAGCACCGTACTCGGGTACTACCTAATTTGGGGGTGCCCAAACCCGGGCACTTTGACTCAGGCACCATCAAAATGTTGTGTTCACATTGGTGCCCGTGCCTGAGCACCGTACCGGAGCACTCAGTCAGAACGCGCTGTTAGATCTTCATCGACTGCTCAAGATGGTAATCTTGCCGATCATGGAGCTGCTCAACGTGTCCAATCGTCAACACTAGACAGTACATTGCAAGAACAACATCAGGCTTCGTCATCTCAAGCTTCAACATCAAGATCATCTTGTTCGATAAGAGAGCAGGAGTTTAGGCGGTTATTTGCACCGTATAATCGAGCTAACAATGGAAAGATGTTTTCTCATCCACCAGCAAAACGTGGTCGATCTAATTCGTGGGGACAACAAGGTCGGTGTTATAAACCGCAAGAAATTTGGACTCACGATTTTTTTTGCCTGGCAAACCATGGGCAAGATTGTGTGCCTACTAGAAATTAGAAGAGATCTATCCCCGGCTGGTATCAGGCGGTGATTTTGAGATATTAAGGAGTGGTTTATCACCCAAACATTTGTATCTTGTTACCCCTCCGCCAAATATTGGATATTCTGTCCACTTTCTTCGTGATAGTTCTGGCCTAGGGCAGGCAATTGCATATATTAGACCAGTTCAAGCTGATCTAGATTCCTCATCTTTGGAAACGAAGGATCACGCTCATGCAGGAGATGCTCCAGAAAACGAGGTACTTTATTCATAGCTTTGAGTAATTTAAGTGATAAATTATTAGACAGGAAATGTTATACGTATACATACATTGTTTTTGCTAGGATATATCTATTGCACCAACAGTGAAATGCTTAAATTGCTCAGTGCAGATTCCAATGAACTCAATCAGGAATCATATGGTTGAATGTGGAATGGACAATCACCATAAACAATTTGAGAAGGTCAAGATCAATGTATGCTATAAGCTTGCATTAATTCCTATTACACATTTACTGTCAAAATGTCACACTGTTTTTTGTTTACCTGCTTATTTTGAAAATTGAATGAATAATTTTTTATCAGGAAAGTTTTTCTGGAACTCCATTAATGTCTGAACTGTATGAAATGTTTCCTGACCTTCATGATACTGTCATAGAAGAAGCTGTAAGAGTTTGTGAGGGAGACATTGAAGTGGCAGTTTCATCATTGTTGGATCACAGTAAGTACTTACATCATTATATCAAGTTCCATGTATGGGATTATCAATATATTTTTGTCGTAGCATAGACTCCATTAAGGCTGAATGGCAGATGTGAAAAGACAAATATTTTATTTTTCATTTTTTTAATAACTACCTCCAGATAATGAATGGATTAATGTGTTTATACATGTACTGTAACTTCAATTATAAAGACAAAGGAATATTACTTAAAGAGGAGATGCCTAATTATGATGCTGTTGATAGCGCAGACTCAGATTCAGAAAATCTTCAACAGGCAACAGAAGTTTGTCTGCAAGAAGGTACGAAGGAATTAATAGGTACATACATGCTGCTAAACACTCATAATTGCATCATAATTGTAGCATTTATCGTAATTATTTTCAAAAGAAACGAGAGTGATGTGTGATTTAGGTGTGACGTTTTTAGTTGTAGTGTGTGGGTGTCAATTGTGTATTGTCATTGTGAATTAGTTTGAAGTGTAATGTTTTTAGTTGATCGTTTGTTTGTATTGTGAATAAGTCGTTTGTAAGGTGCCGGTAATTGCTGTGATCTGTTCAGGGGGGTTTGTTCCAAGTTGAAAAAAAAACTAAAAATAAAAAATATAAAAAAAAACAAACTAAAAATAAAATATTTCACTTCACACTAATCCACAATGACAATACACATTTCCTGCACATTTCCTGTACACACAATACAATGACGTAAGAACCAGACAACAAATACGGCTAACCTGACGTTTACTCCTCATTTGACTCTGAAGATGACTACCGCTAAGGTTGTCGAAACGTCAGTCAACAACATCAAAAATAGTCCTTCTCAGGACTTTATTAACCTGGACGATCATCATTTACAAACATATAACGATACTCCCGGGTTCAAACCATTTACTTTATGATGAACATTGACATTGCAAAGTTCTTTTGCGTTTGAGATTAACTGCAGAACAGCCTCTTCAAGCGCAAATACTTCAGCAAATCGCAACGTAGTATGGTAAAGACAATCGATACGAAAAACGCAAAAATCCCGATCTGGACTTCCTTCGAGGTCAGCAATACAACCCAAAATAGAGTTGCGAAGGAGTCTTACAAAGTATAACCTGTCTGCCATGTTTTAGGGTTGTAGACTTGTAGGTAAAACAATTGGCTTATTTGTTTTCATTTATATTACCGCATGAAGAAAATAAATTATAAATAAATTATAATGTGATCGAGTAAAATTTGATGTTCTGCGAGTCACGAATAATGTTACGTCATCATAATGGAATGTTCAATAACAAAATGCGTTTTAACGGAAATTGAACAGGACAAAATCCGATTATGAAATTCCAGAATGCAATATGATCAAGACAAAATGCACATTGCAAAGGACAAAATGCGCATTAGCAATTGAAAATATGGCTTTTAATTTTGGCGGAGATCACCCTCCATAGATGTCTACCTTGATAATGACGACACCTTTTCTCGTTAACACAATTTCAAGCATTTGCTATGTCCCTTTCGCAAGCAGATGATTTATCTTGGAAAATGAATACAAAAATTATCTTCAAAGTTTCATCTGATCTGTATGATTTAAAATAAATAAAACAATTTGCTAATCAAAACACCCTTAAATGTCTATACAACGCATTGGTACATCCTTATTTCAATTATTGTTGCGACGTTTGGAGTGTTTTGAGTGACTCAATCTGAACGTTTACAAAAACTTCAAAATAGAGCAGCACGTTTAATAGCAAATTTGCCTAATGAATGTATTCAAGAAACTGCCTTAAATGCTTTAGACTGGGAACCTTTAAAAGAACAGTGGTTTAATAGGAAGCAAGAATGATGTTCAAATCGCTAAATAACACGGGCCCAAATTGCCTCCGAGGGTTATTTACTTTCAAAAATGAACTTTTAAACGAAAATCTTCGTGAGAGCCACAACTTAGTTCATTTGCCTAGACCACGTACAAATAATATGAAAAAAATTTTGTTTGGAGCTGCATACCCTATGGAACTCTTTTTGCTCGCTGTTTTGAGACAGTGTAATCTGTATCTATGAAACATGCCCTGTGTCCCGAGGACTTTCTTTCGTCCTACAGAGCCAATGACCTTTTCACATGATGCCGAATAATGAGGACCGTTACAATAAACGCACCGTATCTTTGAGTTTTCACGAACTTTACTTATATTAACAACTCTTGCGTTAGCGGTAGGTGTTTGATAGTACCATAAAGAGTTCCTTGATTTAGATCCTAGTTAGTTGCTTCATTTGACTGTGTGTTTTCACTTATACCTCTCGCTTCGATTCGATTTCAATCTTTATTGCAACTCATCGATTTCCCAGGCTTCCTTACTGACCTTACCACTGACCTGTATAGTAATTACCTGGACAGAAAACCTCATCAAAATTATTATATTTTTTAAGCGCAACATGATGTCAAAGACATGGATAGCGCCATACCTTTTATGGCAAATTTTTGTTTAAATTGTCAGCGGAAGGCGACAGGCTCCTGATTTCAAAAGTTTTCCGCCCACCCGGATTTTTACCCAGCTTTTGTTTACGATTATAAAAAATATCAAAAAAATATTATCCCAAACGCAAACTCGTTTTTAAAACTACATCACAAAATGCTGCAAACACTTATGTGGTACACAAATGCCGAAGAAGTGCAAGGAAAGGGAGCATTTTATGATATCGGTAAGAAAAATAGTGTATCCAATAGTGTTGATCAATTAACGTTCGAACTTCAAAATGTTCATTTCATTATTTTGTTTTACTATTCTTAAAGTGGGATGCCACATATTTTGCTGTTTTTTTCAATGGCTAAGTTATAATTTAGGTGATGTTTGTCCAGTCATTTTGATTTTTTACTTCATTGATTGTCAAACAATGCAAAGATGCTAATTCTCTTTGAGAATTGTCAACATTACTGAAAAACATTGTGGTATGTGTCATGGAATAAAAATATTTTAGATAAGCTCCTTGTTTGTTGTGCAGAAAGTAGAAGTACAGTAACAGACTGCAAAAAATAAAGATAGTGAGGGAAAGGCTTCCTTGATGCTAGTACTCTTATAAATGCTGCTGAGTGGTTCTTTAACTTTATAGATGCATTTTCATAATGAACTATTTATATATTACATCAAAACTAACATAGAAGAGTTGCTTTGTGCAATATATGGAGTTAAGACTTCCTCCTAAGATCCAAACTTAAATTTTTATCTAAGTATAGGTTATGATTATGGCTATAAAAAGTTTAATCTAGATAGCATTTCCTCATCTGACAACCATCCACAATTGTTACATTTCAGGTGACCCAAGATTCACTGCATTAGTATAGTTGCAATGAAGTTGAAGGCGGAAGAAAGAACTTTTTTGTGTCTGATGAAGATGAACTGGAAATAAATAGTTTAAATAATTCAAATAAACTTTAAAATTTCAAATCTTAAAAAGTTTTCAATTGCAAAGTGGGAAAGATTGCCGAACCTGTGCAGACATGTGGTCCTACAAAAATCTATTTGTTGGTTTTTTGATGCTTTAAACAAGTTATTTTACGCAAGTTTGATTCTTATCAAATTACACAATGTCAAAATATTACATATAATGCACCCTAATATTTACAAACCTTGTTAGATTTTGTGAAACTACTATTTCAACGTTTTTGCGTGTATACAAGCAATATACAGTATTATGTCCAATAAACTAACAAACAATTGTTTATTTTGTTATAATTTTAATAAGAATCAATGTATTTCACAGTTGTGGTGAATAGTTTGCAATCCTGTTGTATTATGACATTTTAGCTCAAACTATTTACAACCAACAACTGCTTTAAATGTTTTTTAATAATATAATAACATTTTGAATTTTGCATTGTTCTTTCTTCTAGCTCAACAAGTTCAAGATATTTTTTAACATGCTCTCAGTAAAAACTTACTGAATTTCATTTTAGTTTATATACTGATAAGACACCAGCCAGTATCACTCTGTATCCTAGCAAAGTTTACTTAAAATTTAATTACTACAAACTTTACACTTAGACTTCGACAAGATTTATCTAGCATTCTGCTTCACTGATAAGACACCAGCCTGTACAAACTTTATACTTCGTCGAGACTTAGCTTGGCCAACATTTTTTGGCTCTTTTATGTACATTGTTTATCCATTTTTATGAATTAATTGATAAAGATAAGTGAGCGAGCGTAGTTTTCATACTTTTACATCTTGAAGACATTTTCCATCCCACAGAATGCCGTTTATATTGCTTGACAAAACTTTCTTTACCGCAAATTTTCTTATTATTATTATGCGTGTATCTCATAAAAAGCTGAAGCACATCGTTCTATTGAAAACTTCGTCGTCGAGTCTGGTTTGACACTTAGTAAGGAAACATAATTATATGACATATCAGTTAAATCAGGAGGGAGTGAATGATAAAAATAAGTTTTCAAGTGGAAGTTTTTCAACAAAAATTTCCTATTGGCATCTATGTTTTTGACAACAGTTCCCAGGCCCCGTTTCCTCTCCAGGTAATTTAATATAACTCAATGGGCCTTACGCGCAATCTGTAAACGAATGTCGCTCGGCAACTTGGGCATTATAATCGGTATCAAGAGACTGCCATACAGTTGCGAAGAAACACTTAACAAAGGCAAACCGCGAACGTGTACTCGGATTATATTATAAACGTATTTTAATGAAGGTGGCTTCTTTCCCGTGTATGCTAGAATTTTGAGTATCTCGTCCATATGAGAAGTTATAACTTAATGTGTTCGACCAAACGGTCTTTAAGGATTTCCACGGCATCATAATTTGCGTTCTTGCGCGTCTATCCTTGAATAGCGCGCAGAGCAGGTCCTTCGAGTAAAGAAATAGCAAAGATAATTAAACTTATCTACCTTGCATGTAATAGCATCGTTATTGTGTATAGCAGATTCGTATGAGTCCCAGAATCTACTCCACTTAGTAACTTCACCGTTAAAATTTGACAAAATGAACTTCGGTAAGTTTGGTTGCATAGTCGTAGTCGCACACACTGTCGGTCGGAAAATGCTCGTATTTGCTTGAGTTTGGTGTATAATCGTTTTGTCTTGATTCGCGTTACTCGCATTGACTTGCAATAGCCTCATTGTGACTTGTATTATGCTCGTGTTGATTCACATTACATTCGTGTTGACTCAAAATAGATTCGTGTTGACTCGCAATAGATTTGTATTGAATCGTAATAGACTCGTGATGAATTTCACTTTTTCATTTGGACTTGGATTTAATTCGTTTTATAGCTCTCGAAATCAACAGCCCCGTCCGTTGAAATGTTACTCCCACTTACCTGACCCTTACTCGTGTTCGAAATTTCCGATTTTACAACTTCTCAAGCTTTCTTTTCGCATTTAATATTTGGGCATGAACCTCCGCCGATTCTTCAATTTCTTATTCTATATCTGTAACATCGCATAAACCTAAAATCTCCTCTTCGATTTCGTTCAATGTCTTCAGTTTTACCTCAAGAATAGAAACAATAACCTCACATCAATTTGCATCGACCTCGTCTAAACTTAGAATTTCGCCTGCTTCCTTAGCCAATTTCACACACACTCCTTGATGCCCGTCTCGCTTCTCTCGTAACCGGTCTAAATTAAGCCGGAAGTGTAAACTGGCCGCTATATTGAAGATACGCATTTTTTCTCCGCTGCATCGTTGTTTTCTTGCTATGAGGTGGTTTGATTCTTTAGCGGCTGGTAGTTTATTTTGTTTTTTTTCTTGTAGAAAGAAACTTGGCTTACAGATCTGTTATGTACTGTACCAAATTAATAATTTGAACAATGATGATAGTTATACTTCTACTGACATGCTATATTAGAGAAACAACATGTTTATAGATGATTATTCTACCTGAAAATTAACAAATATACTGGAATCTTATATGATATGTAAGCATGATTGTATTATTAAAAGTCTGCCCAAAATTATTTGTGTTTGATGTATAAAGTTGCAAAAGCAAATTTACGATTTACTTTGTAGGATGGAAAAATATTGTTGCAATAGTAGCCATCGAAAGACAAGTGAATAATAGAAAGCTTTTAAATGGCTATCATCCAACTCCATATCTCCGTATTGATGTTGTAATATTAAGAAAGGATTTATTCCAAAATTTGTGCGACAACATTCATTGAGAGATGCAATCTCAAGATAATGCTTCTAGCTTCACGTCGAAAGACTCTTTAGGGTGTAATAGTACAATGCGCTCCAAAATTCATTCCTGTCGTGGTCCTTTAATATAGATTATTGTTACAATATGCAATGATGTCTTACTCGTGTATCTTTCACTGTATAGACAACGGTTAAATGTTATGATCTATTTGTTTTATATATTAAAATCAAAAATTCCCAAATTAAACGGTCAAACAGTTTGTTTTCTTTGTCTCAAACATTTGGAACATTGAAAAGTTTTAATTTTGCAAATATCACGGTTACGTGATCTAAATAGGATTGAAGAAATGCTATTGGCTAGCTTAATCACGTGTTAAAATGTGATTGGCTAATAAAATAAATAAGCAATGGCTGATCAATTTTTTTGAAATTTTTTTAAAGGCAATGTACAAATCAATGTTTGAAAACCGGGTTTTTTTTATTTTCTTTGTTCTCAAATACGTTAACTGCCTCAACTAGGTCTTTCTGAATATCTTTATTTTCCCATTCAGGGAAGTATTGCGATAAATTTTCAAATATATCCGCCATTTGTTTGTTTTTATAAACATGAAATTTTCTGTGAGGTCAATTCCTTGCATATATCCTCTTATAGATCATAGCTCTCGAGCAATGAAATTGCTCAAATTCTTCTGTTTATTATATAAATTAGAAATAAACATCAAACGGCAAACGACATTCTTTAGTACCACTGTCAATGCACGCTACTTGTATGTTTGACTGTTTGTAAACAGTTTGGTGCAACTGTCTTTCTTGAATAGATTTCTAAATCTTAGTTAAAATGCCCGAAAAGGAATGAGAAAAAGTTTGCTTTCTCCACGACTTAAGTCAACTAGAAATATATCCTGAATAAAAAGGTATCTAGTTTTTTGAGTTATTTTCTTAGGATGTATTATAAGTTGATTTTGGGTGTATTATAAGTTTTAACGTAATGACATTCTAATAAATCAATTGAGAACTTCTAAAGAAAATATCCTGAACGAGGAGAAAAAAATAACAAAGTTCAAAATGTTGTGATCTCTTTCCTGGATGGAAAATTCTAATTAGAGCCAAGATATTAGAAGGATTGTTTGTAAAATATTTGGTATAATCATGAATCTCTTAATTACTTGACAGAACTACATTAATTTCTCGTTGAAATATGATTTCTGAAATTAAAGTGCATTGGTTTCTCGGACATTACTCTTTTGTTTATTGCGGTACCAGGGCAAACCTGTTTAAATAATTATCATGGAGCTGAAGATATTTAGCAACTTATATAATTGTTATTGTAAAAGTCATTACTTATAATATTATGGTTAAGAAGACGATATTAATTCTCAAAAATGCTAACTTTCTAGCACTACTCTTCTCTTGTGCCCTTGCAAATTACAGTTACCCACACTAGTTTCCTCTAGGTTGACAAATCTTTGAATTTTACATCATTCCATTGAATTTTTCCTTTTGTCTCCTGCTAAAAATATCAGTGAAAGACTTCCAAATCTAGTTTATCTAAAAACAGTATTTTGTACAAAGAAACTAAATATAATGGGAAAAGTCTTATGTCAAACACAGACATTGCTTCTTTTACTAGGTTGCTTGTTCTTATTCTTTTAAATAATTTCTACTAATTCTTCATAGGTTTTTTGCCCTCTGTATTTCCTTGTTCTAAATTCAACTTCGTTGTAACCAATGCATCCTATGCAAATTTTAGATCACCTAGAATTGTAACAAGAATGGATTTTGTCTGATGAGGTAGTACTATATTTATCGTCATAAGGTTTTCGTGTAGAAAAATTTCGTGTAGTAAAATTTCGTTTTAGTGTAAAAATTTCAATGTAGAATCAAATCTTACCACAGTATTGAGCAAAGTTGTTGTTATCTTCGTTTTGATGTATTGACCTATCTACTACAACAATAAATAATTCATTTACAGAAACACCAGACGGCATTTATAAAACTGTCAGCATAAAGGAAACCTTTATACACCATCATCATGATTGTCCATAATATGTCAAATTGTGCACACTAGTTTTTTATACAGGTATTTTTTATTGTACGACGTATGCCAAATAAGTGAAAGCACTTCATTTGATTTCAATACAACTCTGTTGTTACGTTCACTGTAACAAGAAAGATTTACGAACAGAAGACTTTAACTATTTTGTATTATTATTAAGTTAAAGAAAGCTATCAGCACGAAATAACAGGATTGTGTAAACTTATCTGTCTACAACAACAATAAGTAGCTTTGCTTCTCAGACAATATTTTTAACTCTTCTCCTTCCTCAAATCCTTACGACGATACATCCAACAACAAAAAGCCAAATATCACGAGCGTTGCGTATCTTTCGTATTACACAATGTTAGTTCCTAGTCAGTGATGAAATAAGTCAATCCTCATCAAGCTATTTTATTTTGAATTCTGTTTTTGAATTGGCTCAGTGAACCTGTATATCAATTTGCTTTTCAAATACATATTGTATTTTAATTAATGTCAAAGTTATTGATAGTTCATCACTGGTTTTCCCTAGTAAGTGACAAGAAAGTTTCTGACACGAGGGAAAAACGATATCTGTTATCACTCAACGACATAAATTTTGTGGCATAAAGGCACTTATTACAAGATAACGTAAGTTTGGCGACTTTGAACAGTAGGGCGAAAGATTTAATGGTGTCTGAATATGTAGAACTAACGATATAACAACAGTCGAGCAAGAGGACTTTCGACTTTCTAAAATTGAGCTCGAAGTATTGTCGTTTTAAAGGACTTATCGAAGACATCATGATATAAGTCTTTTTCATTCAGCAGAATTGAAAATAATTCAGCTGTGGGAAGTGAAGACGCAAGCCTATGATTTTCTACATGACAAAAATAAGGCAGTTCGAAAGAATGCATTAATAACAAACGAAAATGAGATGAACTTCCTCATTATCTTTTGTTTTAAATGCGTTCGGTTCATGTAAAGTTCGACATTTGAACTAGGCTTAAATGTGAAAACAAGACGTATTGTTTAATTATTGATGCGAGATGCTTAGTTTAAGCGTCCCTAATGAATATATTGATGAAGGAAATACGTCAGTAAACGTCCCTGTAATAACAAAAGATCCCGAGACAACCATGTGATTAAGTAAAGAAATAAAGAAAATAAGAGTGGGCAAATATATATATGTATGACTTAAATTATAATTTAGTAGAAAAACACTCACAAAATATATGCCATCACAGTCCAAATAATGGGTACTGTTTGGGCTGATAATTTTTTTGATATGTACCCACTGAGTAAAATGTGTGCGTGGTCTTTTTTGCGTCATGGAACTTATTTTGCAAATAGACTTGTGAATTTACGATTCCAATACATTAATAAATAACAGAAAATGCTGAGTTTTTAAACAAAACAGGAAAACATCAGCATATTTGGCGTTCAAGTCTGTCTTAAAAAATATGATCTATATTACGAATTTTATGGCTTTTCAAATAACTGCTTTTCAATCTTTAAACAAAGCAAAAAATTATCTCACTTGTGAGAAGCGAGATGTTCCTTCTTGTGGGAGCTACGACTTCCAACATTTGAACAATGGAAGGGTTTGCATTACAAATGAAATACCAAAAAGATAACATGTTTGTTTTAAATTACTATAGACACGAGGGGAGGTCGATAATATTTTTTTCTGCAAAGCAAACATTTCAGCGAAAATAGGTCCTATGGCGCCATAGATATAATAGAACCTAGATTGCTAACTAGTGAGCTCTACAACAACTGGAAGGCTAACTTGGCTGCCATCTTTGAAGCCTGCATGATCGCCGCCATTGAGGGTACGGAGGCGAAATACATCACTTCAAAATTGCCAGATGTTTTTGCAAATATCAGTGGTCTTTGAGCCAGCTTAATCTCTAAAAACCTTAAACAATGCTTGGACTTTAATATAAAACAAGTTTGAACGACATTTGTACATATTTAAGCTTCTTTATAGAAGGATGAAAAGCGAACTTTGCATTGGCACGTGAAAACATGTCTTATAATTTCAATACAAAACTGACACCCCTCGTTTTTTTTCATTAAAAGGATGTAAAACACACTTGTCAATCTTTATAATCTTGTTTGAATATTTGAAAATGAAGCTGTCAGGGCAAAAAACGTTGTTTTTTTGGTAATTTTTGTGTTTCCGAGCAAAATTAGCTCGCCCCAGTCCTTTTTAAAAGTTCAGAGCGTAAACGAAAAAATCCTTTTGCAAAGTATTTCAAAAAGTTGGCAACAAAATATTTTGAGTTCATTTTAAAAAAAACTGTTATGCCATATTATTGTGTTATCATTAATTGCACCATTTAAAGAGTCAAAAGGGTCAATACCCACTTAAAAAAAGACAAAAACATATTGACACTCCATATTCATAACGTTTGAAACACTGAAGCAACAATTCTAATATAATGCAAGTATGAAAAAGATTATTAGTCTAATATTATAGAATCATCATTTATTTTCACAAATATGAGCAAATATTTTAAACACACATCCTAAAATTTAATATATTACATATATATCTATCATCATCTGCATTACAAGAAAAAACTAATTTTACAATCAATATGACATACTATAAAATTTTGATATATGATATAGCTTTGCTTGCTTTATAATCATTTTAAAACCCTGGTTCAAACCACTGAGGATGAAGGTTGCTTTTTGGCATTTATGTAGAACACGTTATATTAGCAATACTTGTCATAGTGTACACTTGGCTATTTATTTATAGGCATGAACTTGCTGATAAAATGCTCAATACACAAACATGGATCCATGTCAAATTTTCCACCAGTTATTAAGAAGTAGGAGAAGTAAATGACAATAACCAAGAATCAACCAAAGTTCAAAACTTCAAATCATCACTTTCACACATTACAAAAACAGCATGTGAAATTCTTACAAAGCAAGTCTAACTTTAAAAGCAATAAAATTGTTATGAAACATGTTATGTTAAGTGGATTGTGTGTATTTTGAACAGCATTCAAAGATACAAACTACCTGTTATCAGTTTTATCTTAAATTTTGGTCTTTCGACGACAAATGAGAAATTCATATTTCGAAGCAAGTTCTCACTTTTATGTTTTATATAATACAGCGTTACGTATACAAAACATGTCTTGGAACGTCCACAATGCATCTTAACACATTAATAACCAAATTTTGCAAACGGTTTTGAAAAAATTAAAACATTTATGCTAGCATTCTATTTCCAAGTTAGCAGTTTTTGCGAACAATCCGTCACGCAAAATAAATCAATCCACGCGAGATACACGCGAAGCGGCAAATCAGCTTCTAAGTGGCTTCAGCCAACTCTAGGCATGTGTATTGAGTTAGCCTTCCAGTTGTATTAGAGTTCATTGGTCCAGGCCTTTTCCTCCAGGTCTTATAGAACTCAATGGCTCTATTAAATTAACTGGAGGGGAAAAGGGGTCTGGACACGGGTATCAAAAACATAGCGGCGAATAGAAAATTTTGGATGAAAAACTTCCACTTGAAAAATTATTCACTCCCTCCTGAATTTTAATACTTGCATTAAGTCTAGAATTACTCTAAAATAAGTTAGCATTGATTTATTGAATTTATTGATTTTATTTTGTTAAAGAATTGAAAAAAATTCACTATGGTAAAAGGTTGGGGATAAATATTTTCCATTCTTTTTCAAGAATTAATACATTATTTGCGGTTTGAAAAGTATTTCCTTGTTGAACAGCAATTGCCTCTCCCTCGATGTTCTCACCGCCCACCCAATTTTTCTTCAAACTGCTAATGCTCCAAACCTATACATCCAAGTATAGTATAATTCTTTGTTGTGATTCAACAATATACACCCTTAACTTACCACAAATAATTTTATTTCAACTTTTCAAGTTTTCAACATCATAAAACAATTTTAGAGGCAGACTTGTGCAAGTCTAAGTTAATTTGTGCAAACAAGTGGCCCTGTCAAAGTGTCTTTGATGATTTTTAGTCTCTTCAAACCAGTTATTTTGTCCAAATTTGATTCTTAACACAGTACGGAATGCCAAAATAATATGCATGTATTGCACAATATTTATGAAACTTGTAAAATAAATACAATAAATATCTTGATTGACACTATTATTTACATAATTTTGCTTTTATGCAGCAAGAAGCAATGATGTATGTCAGAGAAATCAATACACTTCAATTATGAAAGTGAAAGTTTCCAAATAGAATAATGTAGTTCTGTTTTGCAAATCAGCAGTCGATCCAAAGTTGTGCAAAACAGTTTACAGTCTTTAGCAACATGACTAACATGTGGGTTAAAATTTTTAAAGATTTCTAACCAGCAATAGCATTATATAATAATATTTTCAGTTTTGCTCTATTATCTCCAGTTCAAATTTTGTCTTGTTATGTACTTAATAGAACTGCCAGAATCATTGTATGACTTCTGCCAGTATCCAAGCAATGTTTACTAAAATTCGATAACACAAAATTTAGCCAAGATTCAATTAGCAGTAGACTTGCCCTAGGACACTTTTCCTATGCCTTTAAGTCAATTTAATCGATAAAGATAGTTGTAATAAGCTTGATCACAATACATTAACGGACCAAACTCCAACTGAAGAATGCCGTCTTGTGCCGTATTATTTTTAATTAAAATTGTCGTGCAAGAAGGGCAAAGGTTTCTCCAATGTGAATTTTGTACTTATAGGCATTTCATAAAACGCTAAAGCATACCTTTCAATCGAAAACTTTATGGATTTATTATATTTCCGGGATTGTTTTTACTGGTTGTAATTTGTATAGAATCAGAAACCAGGAGGGAGTGACAATGCGTGTACCAAAGGACCATTCGTTTTTTTAGCTTCAAAAAAACGAAAAAGGATTGTCGTACTAGGAATTTCGTAATTCGACTACATAAACTATTCTTTAAAACAAAACAGAACACAAGATAATTGCATTAAAGGGTCATACGTTTTTCCAGCTCTAGAAAAAATGGAAAACAAAGCGGCTGTCCAATTTTCATTTTTTGATTAACTAAATTTAAAAAAAGTTTGAAAAAGTTTCTAATTCTTCAGTTTTGATGCTGCTATGTTAGACGGCAAATACAAAAAAATAAGTTAATTACTGCTATTGTGAGCTCCGGCTAGCGTGAGCGAACCTTATCGTGTTTTATGGCTCTTGTGGTTGATTGAAACCCAAGAATTCTATATTCTTTTGTTTCTGTCCTCCAACAAAGCGGCGTCGAAATTCAAGAAAACACTTACCCCTGAACACTCACACACCGGATTTTGGGGAGAGAGGCATACAATAATTTTTTGGAGTCATTATCAACGTTAAAATTTGTCCTAGGACTCCTCACCAGAAC